TTTTACGTACCCGTTTTCAATTCACAGAAAAAATGATAAAGATATTAAATGCTTTTTATCAAAACGACATTTTGACACTTTTTCTTGGCTAACACATTCGTAAGGTCTAGAGGGTATATTTTGTAAATTTTGCTTTATTTTTCAAAAGTGGGTGGTGTACATCAGTCAACTAAGTTGGGACGTCTTGTTACCACTCCACTAAATAAGTATTCCAAACTATTCGGAAAAGATGGCGATTTGATAACGCATGATAAATCGGTCTATCATAGTAAAGATATTAAAGAGGGACATAATTTAATTAAAATTTATGAAAACCCAGAGATAGATGGAAGAAATACATTAGATCAAGAAAGACAAAGGCTGATTTTAGAAAATAAACTTAGATTGAAACCCATTATCAAGTCAGTAATCTTTTTGGGACGATAAAATATTCATTTTAGAGGTCATAGAGATCCAGGATCTCTTGTCGTTTCCGAAGGTTCTTCTGAAGATGAGGATAGTCTTGTAAATAATGAAGGTAACTTTCGTGAATTAATTAAATTTAGAATAGAGAGTGGCGATGTTGTATTAAAAAAACAACGATTTAATAAAAGTCAATTTTATAGTGTAATATTTGACGAAACCACGGACATAAGTCATAAGTCACAAATGTCAATAATCTTAAGATACTGTTACGAAAATTGTTTGTACGAAGATTTCGTAGGTTTTATTGATTGTAACGCAATGTTTGATGAGGACACATTAGAACCAACAGTTAGTGGTAAAATTTTGGCTCAAATCTTATTTAATTTTATTAAAAAAATTAATTTAAATCCCGATAAGTATATAGGAATTGGAACTAATACTTGCAACTCAATACTTGGTGAACAAAAAGGAGCCGTTACTGAATTAAAAAAAAATTAACTAATGCACTTAAAAGTCCTTGTGCCAGCCACTCATTAAATTTATATATTTCAAGAAGCTCAAACGTTCAAGGTGTTAGAAATGCCGTTCGCTTTATAAAAGAGGTAAATGCATTTTTTAAAGCTTCCGCAAAAAGAAATTTTCTTCTTAAGCAAAAGTTAGATGGCCATAGTCAGCTTAAAAGTCTTTGTGAGACCAGATGGGTCGAACGTCACGAATCTGTGCTTCAGTTTCAAAGTACTATTCTAATCATTGTAGACCTTCTTGATATTATTTCCCACTGGAAAGATCGGTACGCCTCTTCAATAACAGAATGTTTAAAAAATGCTATAGGTTCCACCGTTTTTATGGTTTCTTTATGCTCTCTGTGAGACTGTAAATTTAAGTAAAATATTGCAAAAGAAGTCAATTGATAAACAGTATGTTACTACGCTTACACAAAATGTTATCACCATTTTAAAAGAAAGACGTCGAAATTCCGAAACTTATTTTAGGACCATTTTTATTTTAGTATCAGATATTCATAAAAAATTAGATTTAGAAATTATCAAACCAAGAGTTACTCAGAAACAAATGCATCGCCCCAATATATCTGTAGAAAATAACGTATCTTATTTTAGACTGAGCATCTATATTCTTTTGTTAGATAATATATTGCAAGATCTCCAATTTCGTTTTAACGAGGAATCTTTGAATACCTACGAGTTCAATATATTTTTTCCTTCCATTTTCAATTCAAAAACGGATACTGAAATTAGTCGATCGAAGTAGTTGCGGAATATATAAGCAAATTTGAAAATAACCAAAACAGAGATTTAATACTTTTAAAATTAAAATTTGAATTAAGTATTTGGAAAATCGTAAAAAAAGCGATACAGATGGTATCGGTTTATATTTGTCTTGCGATGAAAATATATTTCCTTTATTAAAAAAATGCCTACAAGTTTTGGTCACTCTACCCGTTAGTGTAGCTTCAGCTGAAAGAAGCTTCTGCGGCGCCTTAAAACCTGGATTCGTTCAACAATGGGTCAGGATAGATTAGTTGGGCTATCACTTCTGTTTATACACAGACATTCAAGTAAATGTAGACCATATTATAAATAGATTTGCAAATAATAAAAATAGACGACTTGATTTTACGTTATAATTTTTTTTCATTTCATGTTTTCTGGTCATGCGAGTATGTTATGCCCGAGAAAATATTTTTGTTTGTTTTTGTTATGTTTTAATTTATAAACTTTCGTGTTATTAATGTTTTTAAAATGTGTTTAATATTTATTATACATGCAAAAGTTGTTCGTTTTAAATTTACTTGTATCATATGTTTTTTGTTTTTAAATTATATCAGAAATAAAGTCAATATTTTCACTACCCCCCAAACTTAAACTCTGGATGCGCCACTGGTCACTGTAATCGCCAAGATTTTCAGGAAAGTGTAGAAAGTAAGAATGTAAAATGTGCAATTCAAGATTTATCAAGCAACCCAAAATTGTAATTGAAATAAAATCCGAATTCGAGGTTCTGTTCGGGGACCGAAAACTCCTTCTTCTTATTTGGCGTCGCTAACATTGTAACGGTTGAAACCGTTTTCGTTATT